CCTGCTGCTGCCGCCGCCGCCGCTGCTGCTGCCGCTGCTGCTGCTGCTGCCCGCCGCGTGCGCGGCCGCTCGGGAACCCCCTGCAGCGGCCCGGCTCAGCCTGCACCCGCCCTACTTTAACCTGGCGGAGGCGGCGAGGATTTGGGCCACAGCCACCTGCGGCGAGCCGGGGCTCGGCAGCGCGCGACCCCGGCCAGAGCTCTACTGCAAGTTGGTAGGGGGGCCCACGGCCCCGGGCAGCGGCCGCACCATCCAGGTAAGGTCCCGGGAGAGCGCTAGGGGAGGCGGGGAACCGGGCGCGGGATCCCTCCCGGTGCGGGTCGGCCACCTGAGGAGAAGGGACTGGGCCCTTTCCTCGCGGGCGCTAGTACTTCAGGCTACCGGGAAGGCCTCCCCCCAACTCCCGCGAGGGCCGGCGACCCCGGGATATGGGCGCGGTGTCGCAGGAGTGATCTTGTGGGAGTACCGCCCTCGCCAACGCGCCGTCCGAGGCGGGGATGTGTAAAGCACGCTAGGTGAATGAAGGCTAAGGTCAGGTTTGGGCGAGCAGAGGAGAAAGTCCGAGCTGCGCTCTTGGGATGCAGGGAACTCCGGTCCCGTCCTGCGGTCCTTTACACAGGTAGCTCCCGGCCAGACACTGAGTCCCTCCAGGGCTTCACGGGCGCGCCCCCTTCCAAGCCTTTCATCTCCCCCACCTTATTCGGAGAAGTTGCTAGCAGTTAATTTCCGTGGTGTATTTCAGGTAAACTTTTGCGTCATATCAATAGTATCTCTTCGATGTCACTAAAAAGATGCACTTCATCCCACTGCATGAAGTGCCGCCATCCTGAGTCAATGGGGCAAATGAGACAGGGCGCTCAGAGTCCCTTAGAGATAGTCACCGAGAACACCAGGTGTAAATGATAAAGTCGCTGGCGCTTAGTTGGCCCGTGGAGGTTTGCCAGGTCTTTATACACCATCCTCACAACAGCTCTGGGAACTGGATCAGGTGAGTAGGATAAGATACGTGCCTATGTCAGAAAGTAGGGCAGCTGGATTTGAACCCAGTCCTTGATTCCAAAATCCGCTTTACGCTGACCCATAATTGCTCCCTCCGGCTACTGAGAAGTGTTGCTGAGAAATAGGAAAGTGTTGCCGGAAGAGGGAGTAATTTTGGCGCTTGGGTTACAAAAGGAAAGATAAATTGAGAGTCCAGGTCAGTGTTTTAGAAACTCTTTTGATTGTGCACTTGCATAAATAACAAGTTGAACATGCAGCGCCAATACATGTTTATTTATTTATAAATTATATGTATGTATTATTTTGTTAATATATTGTGTGTACTTAAAACATGCAAAAATAGAAATTTAGAAGAAAAATACTTTCAATTTTCTTCATTAAAAGCCCGAAATAATTTTGCTTTCTCTAAATATTTTATTTGTGATCTTGTATAACCATTTATAAATAAAAAAATATACAAATGTAATCATGTGTATTTTTGACAAATTTAATTTAGCACTCACAATTCAATTCAAACTTGTTATATATTAATACTTGGATTTAGTGCTTGTCATAGCTGAAAAGATACCTCAAAAATATGTAGATTTAGATGGAAGAGGAACAGCATTAGCTACTGAGCTCCAAAACCAGCTACCTAATCTGCGCAGTCCAGTGCAAAATAAAAATCTGGAGTCCCTTGTTTAAAAACTTTAAGAATTTCAAGACGGCAATAGCAGAGCATTAAACTAAGGGAGGAGCCTTTCTAAGTGACTGCACAGGCCTCATGCTATCTGAGTTCACTAAATCATGGTACTCATATTTCTGCCCCGTCCTTAAATTATTCTAAAAAATTTTTTAAAGTAGAAACTTGACCAGTAAATGTTTGCTTTCAAGTGGTATTCAGTCCTTTCTGGTAGGAAGGTGTTGTGTTTAAATGTTTTAAACTATAGATTTGAAACACACTGCAACTCTTCTTTTGGAAAATGTTATAAAGTTCTGGTTCCATGTTTTAAAAATGTGCAACTATGGGAACTTTTAGAGTAACACAGTTCCATATTTTTAGTAACAATGGATGAAACATATCCAAACAGCTATTTTTCAAAATGCTCTTTCCAAAGCATACACTTTTTTACCACAATATTTACTTTTTCACACATTGTGAAAAAGTAAAACACTTCTATTTTGATAGAACAGAGTAAGTACCTCTATTGTTTTGTACATACCCATCAGGTAGTATATTACTGGCAGCCGCTTGCCATCCCAGAAAAAACCAGCAAATTTGGAATGTTTGTGGGAAAAAAAAGTGTAACATCCTTAAATGTAAAAAAAAAAAAAAAAAAGGTCTTTAAGTACTTTACCATGAGATAACCAGGGAACTGGTGTTATCAAAAGAATTTCACAGTCACTCTCCATTTCAATACAAGGTTGTAACTATCCTATGTAGGAGACTAGAACCTCCATTGTCTACTTAACAAGGCACAAGTAAGCTTCAAAGTGGGTGATCAGATCATAGCCTGGTGGAATTTTTAGGACCATTGTGACTTTTGACCAGCTGACAGTGTGGACAGGGTGAAGGCCCCTATGCAACCTGTATATGAAATTTTAGTAAAACTGAATTTCTTCATGTTTAGGTAAAATAAGCATAAACAGAAGTTTTAATATTCCCTTCTTGCACCCCACTGGCATACTCAGCTTTGGACAGAACTGTTCTAATTATGGAGAAAGTAGATGAAAGAAGAAGAAACAATTCAAAGCAAATTTCAAATGTTTCCTCTATCTCAGTTTTGCCTAGGAATGGGGCAACCCTCATTTTCATCAACTGGTATTTTTATTGAGTGTTCATAGTTTTATGCCACTGTTTTGGAAGTCCAGAAAAATCATGTTTTCTGTTCTGATTCCAGAATAGGTCATTAAACCTGAGTTCACAGTCCTAGATAGAGTAGGAAGTGGTTTTTTGAGGTGACTCAGCAGGCTGTTTCTAGGCCAGGGTGTAGCCTGCAGAAAAAGAGTGCTATCTGGTATTAAGTCTTGTGCTTCCCTGAAAATAAGGGTGAACAAAAGCTCTGCTGCACAGTGCTTTCTGCTTTCATTGTTGAGTGCTTAGGAGGATGTACTCATTGCTGATATGAGAGGTTCTCACCTAATGAGAAGTGTGTTGGAGACCAGAAGGGGGAAGCCGAGTTCCAGAGGCTAGGCTGTTAGACACTTGGCGATAGCCCGGTGTTAGAAGCTTCTTGTATAGACCTGCCTTTCAGAGAAGTGAGGGATAGTGGGTGATGGGCGGGAGGAGGGAAGAGAGATTATGATTAATCAATTGGTTTTACCTGAGTGATGATCATCTTGAATCTGCTCATGTATAGCTCAAGATGGGAAACAGAAGAGTTAACTAAAATTGTTCTATTTCTTTGAACTTTCTAAAAATGTCTTTGGGGCTGGCCAGGGTTTAGAACTTCAGATCAGATTTTGCAAAATATGTAAAAACTAAATAAAAGTCATGTCTTAGAATAAAACCTGAGTTTATGGTCCTGATTCTATAATAACAATGCTGATATTTGAATGGTAGCATCTATCAACAGGCAGGTGTTTTAAAAGTCTGAATTTTGTTTGTTGTGTGAAAAATGTTCATTGCAGTTTCTCTGGACTTAAGATTTATTAAATAAGATTTTTATATACTTGTTACTGCTCAGACAGTAAGTTTTTGGTGTATGAGAGCTCTTTGATTCAGGAATACTGTCTGGTTCACAGCTGTATCCCCAGTGTTTAGCACAAAGCCTGGAACAATACAGGTGCTCAGAAAATATTGAATGAAAGGATGGTGGAGTGAAGATATCATTAAAGGCTGTAAAGAAGTTAATGTAAAGAGTAGACGAGAAAAATATGCAAATTAATTCTTTTCTGTTTAAAAGTAATTACAACTGAAATATGTCACACTTTGTGCTTTAATTTTAAATATTTGCTAACCTATGGAATCTAAAGACATTATTATTTACTGACACTGGATAGAGATGATGATAAAATGGAAGTCTGTGTCTGGAATATAACCATGTGTTTGGCTTAGCTTGGCATAAACACTATACTCAAAAGGAATGAAATGCACATATTTACCAAACATGATCTCAATTTTGCACATTAATATTCAATACATCTTTTATATTTTCCTTAATTACATTTTGATTTATGCATAGGAATGTGTATCTAATCTGAGTGATATTGATAGAGAAGCACACACATATGAGTTATGGCTAAGAGTGAGAGTGTTTGTCACAAAGCACCCTCAGTTGTGTGTGTTACTTGGACTAATGGCCATAAACAGGAAACTCAACTTTTCTAAGGTTCTGTTTATAGTACTATTGTGAAAGAGAATTATTTATTAACTTCAGCAAAGGCCTTTTCCTTCGTGAAATTGATACAAAAATCTTGAGCGAGGGTCGGGAAACCTATGATTTTACTATGTCCATTGATATATTTGTAACAATGATTGATAAGAATCATTTCGAGACTTCAGACAAATGACTACAATCACCAATTTAAGGATAAATGATCCTTTCTAAAAATGATTTTCCTAGTAGTTGTTCTGTGTTTGTGGACATTAACCAATGTTTAGTGTTGAAAGTTATGTACAAATCATTTGAAGAAGACAGACATAAATGTTTTTCTTTGGAGGGCCAGGTTCAATTACCAGCGGAAAAAACATGATTCCACAGGCTAGAATCTCAGCAATTTAAATTTGTTCCTCAGGAAATCACAGACTACTGGAGCTCAAGGCTCTTCAGAGTCACTGGCGAGTATTTGGAAGTGTGAATGTTCAGTCCTTGAATTGCAAGATTTTACTTCATGCTCTGAGTTACATGTACCACTGAGAGTGTGGATTATTCAATCTGAGAAAAAGAAATATACAGTCATAGGGAAAGGAGAGGACAAAATGTTATTAGCTCTTATAAGAAGTCTGTACCTAAACTATAATAGAAAGATAGCTGTGGGTTTTATATCTTTAGTGCAGATGTCAATGTGAAATCTACATGTTTTATTCACATCTTTTACCAATACTAGATTGAAGCATGTGAGTCATTTTATACAACTTTATTGAGGCATACTTTAAGTACTGTAACATGCATCCATTGCAAGTGTGAAGCCAATAATTTTTATTAAGTTTATAGAGTTGTGCAGCTATCCCTAGAATCTCATTTTAGAATATTTCTTTCAGCTCCCAATTTTCTCTTGTGCCTGTGCACTCAGTCTGCGCCTATCTCCACTAGGCTGATTTCTGTCTCTAAAGATTTTCCATATCTAGAAATTTCATAGAAATAAAACAAAGCAACGCATGTGGTCTTTTGTCTCTGACTTCTCTCATTTAGCATAATGATTCTGAGGTTCATTCATACTGTATTGTATGGGTTAGTGTTGCTTCCTATATATTTGAGACTCTTTTGTTTGGTGTAGGTATATTTAAATTGTTGTATCTTCTTGATGAATTGGCCCTTTTTTCAATGTGTAATGTTCATCTTTAGCTATTAGAACAATTTTTGACTTAAAGTCTATTTTGTCTGATATTAGCATAGCCACCCCAGTTCTCTTGGTTTCTGTTTGCATGGAATACCATTTTCTGTCCTTTCACTTACAGCTTATTTGTGTCTTCGGATCTAAAGTGAATCTCTTGCAGACATCATATATTTGGATCTCTCCACCCCTCTCCCCCAACCGTGTTCCAGTGCTTCAGGATAGAACCAACAGACTGGAAGCTGCTGGCACTGGAAGACATGACACTGAGGGGGCTGGAGCCCTTTCCCTTTGCCTTGGTACATTACGGGGACTGGGACCACACTCCCGATCCCTGCCAAGAAGAGGAGGGTTGTTTGTTTTCTTTTAATCCATTCTTCCAATCTCTGCCTTTTAATTGATAGTCTAATACATTTACATTTAAACTGATCACTGATAAGGAAGAACTTACTTTTGCCATTTTTGTTTGTTTTCTCTATGTCTTATATTTCTTTGCTTCCTCAATTTCTCCATTACTACCTTTTTTTGTTTAATTTTTTTTTTCCTAGTGTACCATTTTTATCTCCTTCTCATTTCTTTTTCTGTATATATTTTAGTTATTTTCTTAGTGGTTACTCTGGGGATTACAATTAACATCCTAAATGTATAACAATCCAGTTTGACAATCCAATTTAGCTTTGATGACATCTAAAACTCTGCTTCTCTACAGATCTGTCCCCCACTCTTTATGATATTATTGTCACAAATTATATCTTTACACAATGCTGCCTATAAACATAAATATATAATTATTGTTCTATGCATTTGTCTTTTAAATCACATTTTTATATTTATCTGTGTAGTTACCTGTACTGGTGTTCTTTATTTCTTTAGATGACTTTGAGTTAGTGTCTTTTCATTTTAGCCCAAATGATTCCCTCTAGCATTTCTTATAGGGTGGGTCTACTGGCAACAAACTTCTTCAGCTTTTGTTTATTTGAGAATGTCCTAATTTCTCCCTCATTTTTGAAGGATAATGTTACCACTTATAAAATTCTTGTCTGAAGATTCTTTCTTTCAGCACTTTAAACATGTCATTTCACTGCCTTCTGGCTTTGATGGTTTCCAATGAAAAACAGGCACTTAATCTTATTGGGAATCCCTTGTATGTAATGAATTGCTCTCTCTTGCTGTTACAAGATTTTCTCTTTGTCTTTGGACAGTTTGATTATAATATGTCTTAGTGTGGATCTCTTTGAGCTTATCCTACTTGGACTTTGATGAATTTCTTGGATGTGTAGATTCATATCTTTAATCAAATTTGGGAAGTTTCAATCATTATTTCCTCAGATATCCAGAAGCCTCTTTCGCTGTCTTCTCTCCTTCTGAGAATCCCATAACGTGTATGTTGGTTCATTTTATGCTGTCCTGCAGGTCTCTTGGCCTTTTTAAATTTTCGTCATTTTTTTTTTTTTTATCCTCAAGCTGAATAATTTCAATCGACTTATCTTCAAGTTTGTCAATTGTAGGTTGTTGTGAAAAGTTTATTCTGACAGTTTTTGCAAGATTAATTTTTGCTTCAGTGGAGAGACAGATCCTTAAAGCTCTTCCCTCCTCATATCATTTTTTGAATTCTTCCTTACTTTCTGGTACCACAGATGTTCCAGGTCACTAAAAATTTTTTTTCTCCAGCCTTGGAACCAACTATTTTTTCAAGGAGATTTTCTTTTTTTTCTTTTCAGTTAGGTGTAGTGTTGAAAACCAAGATCTGCTTATGAGGTGTGGTCATTTGTTACTGGCATATTATTGCTTCTAGACCCTTTCTGTGGATAGAGCTAGGAAATATTTGTATACCTACTAATTCCTATATGTACACACATCTACATTAGAAATACAGTTGATTTTTGCAAGTTGATCTTTTTATCATATGACCTTGCTGTAGTTTTTAGTAGACTCTTTAAAATTTTCTACATACAGAATTACGTGTTTTATTTACTTTTCTCCAATCTGTATGCATTTTATTTCTTTTTCTTTTAACTCATTCATTCATTGACAAATACTCATTCAGTGGCTCTTACATGCCAGGCACCATGCTAGATGCTGGGGATACAAAGATGATACAGACATAAACTTTCTGTAGATGATTAAATTTTTTTTATAGCCTAGTTTTCTTTAAAGACCAGAGAAACTCCTGTAAGGGAAAATATAATGTCACCTCATTGTACATATTATCAAACTACTCTCACTTAGAGAACTCTGGCTCTATAATCATATAGACCTGAGATTGAATTCTAACTCTATCAGCTCTCTGACATTGAAAATTTGCATAATCTTAGTTTCTTTATATATAAAACAGGATTAGTAATCTCACAGGTTTATTGGGAGGATGAAAATAACTTAGTATATTTCTTGGCAAATAGTTAGTGCTCAATGAATGTGATTTTTCATGGAGTGAAAAAATTTTTAAGTAAGGCTTCTAAAGTGGTAAGCTACAAAATTGATTTGTCAAAATAGTTATCTAAAATTTTTGAGTAGAAAATTATTTTAATAATGAGATGTACAATACATTATATACTGAATATATTTGGCATGCTAAAAATTCCACAGGCATTAAGACTTCTATAGCATTCTATAGAATAACAATGTTAAATTGTTTGGTACCATGTTAATAACTAGTTTAGATATTATATATTTATGTAGGGGCACACTTTTTTTATAAGCTAAAGTAATATTTTTGGGGAGGAGGTATTAACTTTTCAAGGTTAATTTTGGTAGTAATAATATATTCTTCCAGATCATAAATTTATATCTGGTTGAGATTCAGGCTTTCATGAAACCTGTCTTAACTCTTGCTCAACATTCTGGAATTATTTGCCTAGTGAGGGAAGGATTTATTAAGTGGTACCTCAGTGGTTTTAATCAATGAAATTGCCCATGATTATATTGTATATATGGGTTCCTGGCCAAGGAACAAGTAGGGGCTAAAATCCAACCTGGACAGGCTGTATTTATTCAGAAGCAGAGAAACTTTTTCTGCTTCAAAAAAAGAGAGCTATTTGGATGAGCTTGCAGGGCCTTTACGTGATGCCTCATGCCAAAGGGGAGAAACCTGCCCTGGGGAAAGCCAGCTCATTAAGTCCCATATGTCCTGCCGGTTTTTCAATGTCGTAAGCATATCATTTTTTCTTAGTGGTTTTCCTGTACTAGATGCTCAGAAAATACATTTGGAATTAATAAATAAATATTAGAGAGAAATGGGTTTTAATTAGATTATCTATACACATCCTACCTGTGAGAAGTGGGAAAAATAAGTGATTATCCATTACTTTCATGTCCCACCACATATTGCACGTACTGTGTATAGGAGTGATACCAAATACAGCGGGCAGAATGGTGAATAGGGGGAACAGCCTAGTAACCAAGGACTTGCTCCCCTGCCTAGTACAAGGTATTAATTTAACACACACATATAATGTTTACTGATGTTGGGCACTGTTCTAAAACACCTTACATATACTAACTTCTTAAATTCTCACAACAGTTTGTGAAGGAGGTACTCTTAGCATGCTCATTTTAAACATGAAGAAACTGAAGCACAGAGAGGCTAAGTGATTTGTTTAAGGTCACACAGCTAGGTTGTGGAAAAGCCAGGTATGCTCTTACCCATTGTGTTATCCTGCCACTGCCGTGCTAACTACTCCTCCCTCATAGTTCCAGCCAAACTTTGCATCATTTCTCTAATTCCATTCATCACCTTGGAGGAATTTATTTTCATGTCTGTATCCTTAGTAGATCATGTACTCTCTAAGGAGAGGGCCACATTTTTCCGCTCATGTCTGTCTCCCCTGTGGCACTCTATCGATACTTTCTGAAGAAATGTTGAAAGGGCAACACCATCATAGAATTTTCCTACCAGGTCAACATGTCGATAGAAGTGCTGTTTGATAAAAATACTTGAATTTCAACAACCTGCCTTTGGAAGACAGGTGTGCCCCTGATATATTGAATTTCAAAGTAGTGTCTGATGCAGTGGCTAAGACTAGTGACTAGGACTGGTCACCAGAAACTGGAAGAGGCAAGGAAAGATCCTTCCTCTGCAGTTTTCAGAGAGAGCATGGTCCTGCCAATACTTCAATTTTAGACTTCTTCTAGCTTTCAGAACTGTTGTTCTAAGCCACCCAGTTTGTGGCATTTTGTTTTGACAGCTCTAGGAGGCTGGTACTGTACAGTAACTGTCTTAGTCCATTTTGGCTACCATAACAAAATGCTATAGAATGGGTAGCTTATAAACAACAGAAATTTATTTCTCACAGTTCTGGAGACTGGGAAACCCAAGGTCAAGGTGTGGGCAAATTTTGTATCTGGTGAGGACCTACTTCTCGTTCATAGACTTTTGTCTTTTCGTTGTATTCTCACGTGGTGAGAGGATGAGACATCTCTCTGGGGTCTCTTTTATGAGGCACAAATTCCATTCATGTAGGTAGAGCCCTCATCCTGAAAGGAATTATTTAGGTTAGGTCTCAACATAGGAATTTCTATGTGTAAGGAGGAGAGACACAAATATTCTGTCCATAGCAGTAACTTTAGCTTTAAATCAGATAACCAGTCTTTCAGTCAGTTAGCAGTATTTATAAAGCATTCAGGGAGAGAGTGTTATCTGTGTGTGGGACAGTGGGAGGGTGAGGGCACTGCCTGGGCGGTTCTAGGATCTCTGCTTTTGAGACTTTGCAATCTGATAACTCAAAATATGATAACTGCAATCTGATAACAGAATGAGAAGAGCTCTTGTCCAAACAAATATTTAGTGATTGCCCACATTAAGAGTCATCCCTAAATATGAAGAATGTATCAGAGGAGCATAAAGTGAGAATCACCTAATGCGGGTTGGGTGGAGGGGGTTCAGGGATGATGGGTACCTGTGAGCCTTGGATCCCTTTTCTGCACAGAGCCCAGTGGTCAGATGATTCCTTCACTAGTGAAGATTTTGGGGCTGCATCAGGGGACCAACAGGGTGAGATAATGAAATGAAAGGCTTGATTCTCTGTTTTTTGGAATTGGCTCTGCAGAGACTAAATATTGCTGAGGATTTGGGTGCACAAAAGACATTGGTCACAAAGATTCTTTATAAGGTCGTTGCATAGTGATATGATGAGAACACAAAAATTTCAGACTTTCAGATTTTCCTATATGTCTCATCTGTCTCCAAGTAGCTTTCCTATTTCATTGTGATAGCTGATCACTTAATGTATCTTCAATGTGACATTGATTTTGAATGCTTTTAATGAACCAGAAAAATTAGCAGGAAATGCTAGAAGACCTCGTTGGGAAAATCTCTTAGCAAGGTTGCTATAAAGTAGTTGAGTGTTCTTTCT